TGGGTGGGTAGTATTATATGGATGGATGGGTGGGTAGTATTATATGGATGGATGGGTGGGTAGTATTATATGGATGGATGGATGGGTAGTATTATATGGATGGATGGATGGGTAGTATTATATGGATGGATGGTCAACTTGGCTTTAATGATTGCTACCCAGAGTTCCTTTTGATACAGTCGCGAAGGTTTGAGTTGGTCGACGACAACATTTTTTTGAATTGACTGTATATCTTTGTTAAACAGATGAGAATCTAATACTTGTAGCTCCTTGCTCCTGGTCCTACTAGCAACAGATACTACCTTACCCTGCAAAAGTGTCCTCTAACGTTGTAAACGTCAGGTCGAAGAATGAATAAGAGTGGGCAGCTTTGTACGTCCCTGACCAAAACATAGCCTACAAAACAAAGAATATATTAACAGATACCATATACAGAAGCCTTGTTGGGCTTCCTGTGGAATGGAATTGATAAGCGAAAGCTAAAACAAGAAACACTGAAGCTCGAATATCGAATTAAACCATGTCACTAAGCCGAAAATCAGTTGACCTCTCGCTACCTTGTGACTAATATTTTAACTCTGGGGTCATTGCATTAAATAAATAATATACACATCACACACTGATCCTATGATGTTATGAAACCGGAAGCGACTACAACCACGGGTAGCCCAATCCACCATTTTAAAATCTTACCGAGCGTATAGCCAAATTATTTTATCTATAAATATCAAAAATGACAGCGAAACAAATTTTAGGTATATCTAAATGCGCAAAAGGAAGATATTTTTGATACGATTCGACGAATATGTTAGAAATAAAGATTGGGTTCCCTGTGGAGGAAATAATGACATCCCAATTGGAAACCAAAAGTTACCTTGTTGTTGATAACTCCTTCTTCAACAGCATCAAAAAATGGCTGGTAATCAGAAGGTGTCAGTTGGCAAACATCTTTGAATGCAAAAACATCGCGGAATTTCTCCCAAATTGCTGTGCAATCTTTGGGTCTTAGCTTTTCGTTTTTACGTAGGTAGTCGTCGCAACGACCGATAACAATGTCTCGTAAATTTAGCGTAGACCCTGGATTTATACCAGAATCTGTACGAGCTACGGTGATAAGAGCCAAGAATACGCTAATCAAAGCAAAGAAAGCCATTTGAATTAGCGAAAATGTTGTCATACTACTGGTCTACTGAGCTATGTTTGGAGCCTTGACCGCCTGCTGTGGCTAGTGTTTGATGAAGCTTCATGGCTCAAACCAATCAGGCATAAGATAAGGGTCAAATTATGCAAGTTTCTGAGAATGGCCGGTAGAAACCGCGACCTGACCACGTTGGTATAATCCCTTCATTACTGTATCATACGAAATCTGATGAAAAGTAACGTGGCTTTCTTGTGACAGACGCGCTCCGCCATGGCCGATGAGGGAATAGGGAATACTAAGTGTAATCAGGCCATTCAGTGTAGCTTAGATTAATTCCTATATCTTGCCAATATTACTATTACAGGATCAGTGAAAAAAGGAAATAAGAATTAAGTTTATATACTTGTTAGAGCTGGGGAAGGTGTAAAGAAAAGAAAAGAAAAGAAGAGAAGAGAAGAGAA